AAAAATGTACTTAAAGATAGTACTATACTAAATAATGACTATAATTCAATATAGAATATGAGTAAATTTGTTTAATTAAATAAAGATTATCATTATGATATTATTATGTTTATTAGTTAATATTAATTAATAATGTAAGATATCAAACCAAAGACATTCTAATTACAATAAAATGATGTTGTTATATACCCTATTGTTGTTTTTGTATAACTTAAATACCTGTTCATTTCTATTTTTAATTAATTTGACAATGAATCAAAAAGAACATTAAATACAAAAAGATATAATACTAGATAACCATATCAAAAGTTACTCAAAAGAGTTTATTGTCTATTGATAATAAATTATCTATTTTTTCTTGGTTAAGAATAAAAGAAAATTAAAGAAGAAAAAGAATAAATTTATTTTTATTTTTTTTGTTATTCAAAAATAGTTGAAGTTATTATATTAATAACTAATAACTAAATAGAGAAGAATAAAGAAAAGATAGAATAAATGAGAAGAATCATTTGGGTCTGGTGATTGGAATTCTTAAGATTAAATAACCATCATTTGTCAACTGAATTGGAAAAGCACTTCCTTCTTTTGCTATAGACAATGTATAAACCTTGTGTTGTTTTGTTTGAATTTCATAGAATCTTCTTGCTAATATCTCAATAATCTGTGCTTCATTTTTCACAGGGTCTTTTAGTAATTCAAAGAAAGCAATATCTTCTGGAGTGTATTCCATATGAATGACAATGATATATGACTTATTCAGATGAATCCCATTTAGCGTTGTTCATCACAAATAGAATGAAATTGGTTTTTCATGTTTTATCACTTATTATATACCTTTAATTCTAGTGACACATAACTAATACTTTAAAAATAGAATCCTGTAATTTAAAAACGAAAAACAAAACTTAATTAACCTCACAAAATTTTTACTCAAGAAAATATTATTGATATGTCGTAGTTTCTTATCTTTACTAAAGACTACTCTATTCTAAAGACAGTACCTTCTTTCTGTGTTATCCTGTTAATTTATTCTGTAAATACAAAACAATTAATAACCTTCAAGTTTCATGAAGAATAAGTAGTTAGTATTTATAACAAAATACCTCTTTTCTTCTCCATGGATTTATGAAAAAAAACGTTGTGTCTAACAATTTGATATTCACAATCAGAAAATGGGAATTTCCCATCACTATATTAACAGATATTATTTGTTATCCAAAAAAGAAAAAAACCAAAATGTTTTTTCTAAAAAACTTAGTAAAATGAAAAGTCAAAAAAAAATTAATACAAAAATAAATCACCAAACGTGTCAGAGGAAAAAGAGATTGAAGGAGAAAAGTCATTGTTCATAGTCATAATCATTAAAGAGATAGAAAGAACAATGCACTATGATAGTTTTTAATTGTATTATATGAAATGAATGTTAAGAAATATTAACTAAACAACACAACTCTCAAAAGTATATCTAATACTACTCATTCAATAATTTATTAAAAGATAACTAAGGATTATTTGATAATAACGATTGACGTCGTTTGAGTAATTCATTTATTACTTATCGTCATATCTTAAAAGAAGTATTAAAAGATATTGTTCCTATAGAAAAGAAGAAAATACTAAAGAGGAGATTATCTTTTAAAAAAGAAGTTTATTACATAAAGAAAAAATTCAAAGATACTTTTTATCAAGAACATCTCATTGATTTTTTTTTGTTTTAGTTTAACAAAAAATAATGAAATTTCTTTAAACTATTGATAAAAAGAAATTAAGTTAAATTCTTCTTGAAAATTTTAAGTCAAAAATATTTGAGGAGTTAATTTTTGTTGTCCATTAAAAACAATGTAATAATTGATATATAAGTTTAATTTAATGCTCATTGTTAAAATAACTTTAAATAACTTTAGAAGGATGTTTATAATTCTTATTAGTGTAATGTAAAACTCCATAAATTTATTTTTACTTTTAATATAATTTAAGGAATTTAGATAAAGAAGGAATTAGAGATGAAATTAGTTTTATCTTGTTTTGATTATTAACTTAAAATTGAAATTGTCTTCATGAAGCACCAAACTGCTTTAAGTAAAATATTGTTAAAAAGAGGACCATTGTTGACTGCAACATGCAACACGGTTTGTATTTTCATTAAAATAAAGATGAAATGAGATTTATCAATTAGATTTTCAACCCTACTGATATTAATCAAGAAAAGAATGTTGAGATGATTGTATCTTATTGTAATGCAAATGAATGGACAAATGAATTTATTTGGTGGTGTTATGATTACGATTTTGAATTTGGTTGTTTGTTTAAATTGTTTAGCAATTCTAAAGCAATTGTTTTGAAACTAATAAAAAAGAAAATTAACAAATAATAGATGATGTTCAATTTGATCATACATTTCTCTTTGTACTAAGGATAATATTAGAAAAAAATACTATCCAATTTACAAATGAAATACAAAAAATTGTGATGGATTTATTATATTCAAAGAAAAAATTTAATACACAAATTATAATGACATATGATATTTCTACAGAAAGTTGTTGTGAAACTATATTACTTCTTACAGAATGTTTTCAAACAATTAAACAAACAATGATAGATAAAATTAATTTACTTAAACCAATTAAACCAATTATTGATTCATTAGCTAACTATCTTCGTTCTAAATCACAAGAATCCAATATTAAATATATATTTAGAGATATTCTCTTTTTACTTATTTCATATTCCTTAAAAGAACGTTGTGAATTAGGTAAAGAATTTGATTCAGATCTCAGTAGTGAAGAATGGGATAAAGTTGGATTTATTGCGGAAATTTTAATTTCATTCCATACAAATAAACAACCATTTTTAAATATTCTTGCTTCTTGTCTTTATGAAGAAGTATTTATTAACAATTTATATGATAATTTTTCTGGAATGGACAATAATTTATTATCTCAATTGTCATTTACTGAAGATGATGAAATTGAACAAAAAATTATTTCACTTCTTCAAATATATTATTGTCCAATATCAATGTCATTATCCCCTCAAATGAAACACGAATTACGTAAAATAATTCATCTTCCTGAATTAATTGAAAATATATCATTTGATACAAAAAAATTGTATTATGAGTTTGACCAAACAACAATCCTTAATACTAAAACATTATTAACTCATTTACATGAGCTTGAAGAAAAAAGAAAAGAAGTAACAATATTGAAGTGTCAACATGAATATAAATTTGATGAACTATATATAAAAAGGAAAAATAATAAAAGTCTCAAAGCAAAACTTATTCAACTCAAACAACTTAATGGAATGCCTCCAACAAGAGTTGAATCAATCCTTGCAGAGTCAGTTAAAAGTGAATCATATTCACCTACAAGAGATAGGTCTACATCAAAAACAAGTTCTAGCTCACAAAACCAATTACGAATTTTTATAAATTATTGTGAAGATACACATGAACCAAAACAACAACAAACTCAAGTAAAATCACAACAACTTTATCCAGTCTTATCAAGATCTAATCCAACAACTCCAAGTCATAAAAAATCAAGAAAAAGTTCAATTGTTGATGCTTTTAAAAAATTTTCCAAGAAATAATACTTTTCACCTGTTTCATAATTCATGTTTTATATAATTCTTATTTATTCTTTCTCTATTTTAATGAGGAAAATATTTTTTCTGGAAGAATATTAATACCTGACTTGCTTTTTTATGAATCAAGAAATTAAACCATAATATAACAACGATAAGAAAATTATGATTATTGGAACTAGGTATTTAAGCAAGAAATTCTATTTCCATATTATCTTTCCACAAAGAATGAAAGCTATGTTATTTATCATTTTTGCTCTCATTTGTTTTGTTTCTGCAAATGAATTATTAGAAAAGGAATTAAAAGTTGTTAATGATAAACTTAAGGATAAGAACCTTCCAAAAGAAGAACGTAAGATGCTTGAATTTCATAAGACCGAAATTATGAAAGCTATTAACAAGAAGGTTGAAGCTAAAAATATGAAAGTGACAACAAAACTTGTTCAAACAGTAAAGAAAGGTACAAAATCGAATAAAAAGTAAATTTTGATTAAATTTATAAAGGTTGTAATTCTGATTGAACAATTTGGTTTATTTTTAAGTGAAAATGAAATTTAAGGTAAATGTCTTTTCGTATTAAATTTATGATATTTAAATAATATAATAAACAAAGAAAAGAAAAAAGAAAAACAAACTTAAAATGATTAAAAGTGAAATGACAATCATCGCAGACGAAATTCCTATTAAAAGAATTAAATTACCAATTGATGTTTCATTTTGGGAATCAACAATTGCTTACAATAGAGTATTTCAAACACTTCATTTATTAAATGATAGTATTAAAAGAATGTCATTTGATTCACCCAAAATTAAAGTAACACCAGTTTGTTTTCTTTTTTAATATAACACTATCATTCTTTAATTAACAACATATATTTATTAAATAGAAAATTGAAAGTATTCTTAAACAAATTGAACAATTAAGTAAATTTATAGATGAAATTCCACCAATAAATTTAGAAAAAAGTAGGTATGGAAATATTAGTTTTAGAACATGGCATAAAAGAGTTGAAGAATATAGTGTTGACTTTCATAAAGCTATTTTACCAGAAGAGTTATATCCATTTATATCAGAATTTCATGGATATTTAATGGACTCATTTGGTTCACCAGTTAGAATTGATTATGGAAGTGGTCATGAACTTCATTTCTTTTGTTGGATAGTTCTTCTAGTTCAATTAAAAGTAATTAATGAAGAAGAATATCCAGCAATAATCCTTAAAGTATTTAGAAATTATTTATATCTTTGTAGAAAATTACAAAATGTATATCGTCTTGAACCAGCTGGATCACATGGTGTATGGGGAATTGATGACTATCAATTTTTACCATTTATTTTTGGATCAGCACAATTAATAAAACATCCATATCTTAAACCTGATTCAATTCTTGATAAAAGTCTAGTATCATTATATGAACATGATAACTTCTACTTTGACTGTGTTGCATATATTTATAAAGTTAAAAATCGTGCTCCATTTTTTGAAAGTTCACCTGATTTGTTCAATATTTCTGCCGCAGAAAGTTGGGAAAAAATTAATAAAGGAATGTTTACAAAATACCATGCAGAATGTCTTGACAAATATCCTATTGTCCAACACTTCTTATTTGGAAAACTATTACCATATGAACCATTAGTTAGAGGCTCAACACCAAAACACGAAGAAGTAAAAGAAAATGCACAAATAAATTGAAGGAAAAAAAAAAAAAA